TGTAATCCAGAATACTTGTCAGGGTTTCTTTTTGTCTCTTCAACGTGCATACTTGTTTTGATAATGCATCCAGGATCCCAATTTGAGTTAATGTTAACAGCTGAAGAGATCTGGTATCTCAAGAAGAGGTAGGGAATGCACAACCTATAAATCTTTCAATAATGTTCAAAGTTCAACAAGGCTGGGGTGAGGCGTGGATTACACCAAAGCACAGATTAATGTCAGCAGGCCACTCCCTGCCATTCTTCCTGTCTGGAAGAAGATGCATTACTTTTTTTTTTTTTTTTTTTTTCCTTTTTTTTAAATGAGCAAGTTAGTCCTGTACTCTCAATCCCATCAGAATGAAATCTCCAGGAATACAGAAACTATATATGTCTTGCACGTAGCATGGAACACATCACATAGTAGGTGCTGAATCAATCTGCTGACAGAATGAATACGTATCACGTCTTCTGTGCAGCAGGCCAACTGAAATGACATCTGAAATGATCACCATGGGAATAGTGACCTCCTTCACTTGGGAGACCTTTTGCTCAGAGCAATCCAAAAGCTTTTGTGGCAAACCTTGAGGTTAGGTTTAAAAGTCCCAAATCAGGCAGAAGACCAATGGCAAGCAGAAGAAGGGGTAACCAAAGACTGTGCTGAAAGAGTAGCCCCAGGGCCTTTGGGAGAGACAGAGGAGCCTGTGGAACAGCACAGAATGACCCTGTGGGTTGTCAGTGACCTTGTAGGCCCCAAATATCGATGTCAGAGTTAAGTGTTTACAGTCCTCTTTAATTAAAGGTTATTTGACAACTTGAGAGGGAAAGCAAAAAGATATCCTCTGGAGTGTATTTCTAGAGCCCTTAGGAGTGCTAAGGTCAAAGGAAATGTGATAACAACCCAGAAAGAAAACAGGGCCCTTTTTACAACTGCTCCCTGACATAGGGCCACACTGGTAAAACTCACTATGGAAACGCTAGGGGAGGTAAGTGCTTTATTCATCCATCCCATTCATCCCGCCACATGCTCTGTGCCATGCGGTCCAAGACAGACTGGCTCTGATGCCCACAGGCTTGAAGGATACACATGACTTTCTACTCCTCGTATTCCTTTTAATCCCAGGGATACAATTTTCCAGAGAACTTTGAACAGAAAAGCGTTTGAAGGTAAGCAGAAAGTAGGTTAAAAACTATCAGCTGACAAATTCTGAAAAGAAAGCATAAGGGGAGCCAGGAGAAAATTATCCCAACAAAAATGAAGAAGAGATGAGGAAAAAACTAGGGAGGCAAATGAAAGATTTTGAACTTTCTGCTGCATCTTTCCTTTATTCCCTACTAATAAGAATGTGGTTGACACAGCTTAGGTATGTAAGTCAATGAGGCAAGTACAGGTCAAACTTCTAGATCATGATTCCCACAGACAGGAAAGCCACACTAGGAGGAAGAGGAGGAGGAGGAGAGCCGATTCTTCTTCAGAGAAAGAGATGATTCTATTATTTTAAGAACTGCTAATGAATGAATACCCACTTATGCCACTAGGTACAACGCAGATGTTTTATATTCATATTCGCTACCTTTTATGGTACATTTTATTATGTGCTTAATAGATGACAAAACTAGGAGGTTAAGTAACTTGCTCAAGGTCATAAAGAAAAGTAGAAGCAAAGCTGGATTCTAACCTAACTCTCTGACTCCTAAGTTTGAGGGTTTTTTCCCCCCACGATACTGCCTACATAACATTTATTTGTTCAGGGAAAGAAGAGTGACGATATTAGATTTCTCTTCAGGGAGCAATTTCCCAAGACTATATTTTCCATTTAGCTGTGCCTGAATTATTGATTTGTTTATAATTGCCATCCTTTACCATAAAGATCTATGTTCAATATGGGAATAAGAAGCCTATTAGAATGATAGTTTTCTTCATGACGACTATATCATACATCAATTAAAATGAACATAACTTCATAACAGCCTGGCCAGGTGTTGCTAAGTACTATAATACCGCATTCAACATCTGTGAGAATCTTGACAAAAATTACAAATGATACGCCAGGCGGGCTGCTGTTTCTGAATCAATGCATTCTGCAAAAAACTTCAAAAATCTTGGGATACTATAATGAAAGCATGTACAAACACAGCATCACAGAGGGAGGAGATGAGGATGAGACTAACTAGCTCAAATATGAGTAAAGCAATAGGAAGCAGAATTATGGAGGAGTCTCTTAAAGGATGAAACTCCCCCAGTATCAGGTGTGCATCAAATTTCACAATTTTAAGTAGCCTTAATAATCTAAAAGTTCTATGGAATGTATCTCTACTTATCCAGCTAAAGAAGAAAATAGGCATCTGTTTTTCCATCCCAAAATTTATAATTAACACAGGGCAAAGGATCACAGCCAGCCTCCCCCAGCAGAGCACTTACCTCCAATAACACACTGTTTCTCTGGTTAACAAAGGATAATCCTTTTGCTGTCTTTCTGACAAAAATTATTCATGTGTTATCAGCATGTTACCAGGGAAAAAGAGATGAACGAATCTGAACTTTCAATGATTTGTTTTAATTTTATAATCAAATAGCAATTATAGTACAATCGCATAAACTATCGACCTTTACCCCTCCTCCTCAATTGTGCCCCAACATTTTGAAGAACAGAATCCATAGATGAACACTGACTTTCACCATGAACCCTTTGAACACCTAAAACCCCAGGAAAGATGGAAGAGAGATGAGGTGAGACAGAGAGCTTAACGCTGAAGGAACTAAGATACCGGAAATACTGTGACAGATTTCTCATCAACATGGCAAGGAAGTCCCCTAAATGTCCATCTCTGGTGCTTTCAGATGGACTGGATCAGTTGTTCTCAACTTTGGCTGATATAACACCATTTACGAAGGTTTTATAAAACCTTTGCCTGGGCCCCACCTCACAGAAATTCTGATTTAATTACTCCTGAATAAGACTCAGGAATCAGTATGCTTTAGAAATTCCCCAGGTGATCCTAATGTGCAGAAATCCACCGACTCAAATAATTCAGAGATATGAATAAATGTAAATCATATTGGCAAGGTTTTAACATAGTTTTCACCTCACTGGAAGAAAAAAATTCTAAAATTTCTAAACACCAAAACATGATAATTTCAATAAACAATAGCAATAAATAATAACAACAGACAACAGCAACACTAACAATAAAAACCTCTTCCAAAACCCAGGAAAGGAAAAAGGGTAGAAGAATTTTGTATAAAAAATTTTCCCTCTCCACCTCCTATATAGGAAATCAACATTTTTCAATGCTAATCATTAGACCTGGTACCAGGTACATAAATATGAATCAGACATGAATTCCCCATTTTTAAAAATGAGGACACTGAGCCTCAGAGATGTGAAGGAACTTCTCTATGGCCAAAGAACAGATAAAGAACAAAGCTTGAACTTGATCAAGTCTCAAGTCCAAAGATTTTTCTCCTCTCTGTATCTTCTGAATCATTTCTTTGCACTTGCTAACTTAGGTGCTGGGACAGAGTGTCATTTTAGCAATATTTTCCACTGTAGGACCTTGAAGAGTTCATTCTAAGGAACTTAATCCATAGCTCTAGTGGCAATTAGCAATCTGACATTGGCACTGAATAGGTAAAGGAGAGAAATATATAAAATTAGATTGGAGGGGCAGGTAGGAGACTAAGAGTAAAGGAGCTTGAATGCTAAGTAAAGAGTTTGGAATGAATGAATATATTAGCTGATTAACAAGTCCATAGGTATTGAGTATATGCCCTGGGTTGGACAGAGAGAACTCTCTAAGGCCTAGACAATAGGGAGATATTGAAGGTTTTAGAATTACTGTATCTAAGGGGCAATGTAATATGCCAAACCAGAAAACAAACTACAAGAAAAGAAAAACCTATCAAAACACTCCTTTTGCCTGGTATAAGAAAAATAAAACAAAACAAAACCAACAACCCAAAAACATTATGAATAAATCAACATAAGGCTCATTTACCATTATAAAAAACAAACTCTGAAAAGAAATTAGCATTATTTTAAGCCAAATCTTGTTTTATGTTATTTTTTATTATAGCTGCATAGAATTTTTCTAAAGGCTGAATTTAGTAGCCGATAAAATACAACTCTCCAACCCAGGACAGATGGTCAGCATGACATCCTAGGATTGGAGTCATTTATTAGCATATGTCAGAGTTAACAATAAAAAAACTTGATGAATTATTAGTTTCCCTCAAGGTAGAAAGCATATTCTCAAATTTAAATGAACAAATTAAAAAATCAGAAAAGAGGAAAGAAAACCATTTCAGTCTCCCATAATGCCAAATATCTGCTTAAAACTCTATATTTAGATTAAATACACAAATTAATAAGAAAAAATATATAAATGTGAACAAAAAAGAAAAGGCTAGGTTACTCTTTTATTACTCCAATGAGATGATTTCGTACTTTTCATTTTTTTTCTAAAACAACTTGCTCTTCTCCACTTTAGAAAGATATTGAAAATTAAGGTAATTTAAAATCTTGCATCCAAATGTATACCCTTTACTTTTTACATATCTACGTGTGGAAGTTTCCAATGCTTTAAGAAATTTAAAGCATTAAGTAGCGTGCCATTTGGGGTGTCAGCAGGGAATGTATTTGACATGACATTAAATTAAGCATATTAACTCAAGTAATAACTTTTTAGTTATACTTATTATTATATCAAATATTAAATTATGCTCGTGCTTATTTTCACTGGACAGCTTTTTTAGACATACTTTTTAATCCAATGTGAGTGTGTATGTGTGCATATGCACATAGTGTGTGATTGCATGTGGTGAAAAATTGACACTGCATGTTCATTTTACTCTGGGCCCTCGTCTCATGATTTCTTAATTTACTTTGGTATCATCAGACATCATAAGATGAGCAGTCTCTATGAGATAGTAGCTCTTGATTTCTTTTAAAAAGTTTTCAAAGATTTTGTAACTTTTTAATTCTAGAAAAAGGAATAGGACAAGGACTCATTACATACCATAATCTGTGATTTTACAGGACACCAAATACAGCTCTTTCAGGTTTTGTCCTTCCTTTGCAATGACCTCCACACACCTGAAACACACACATAGAAAGTGGTGAGTTACACTAATGCGTTTCAAGTTAAATTAGCAAGAGTCTGGCCATGACTGTAACAGGAAGAGGTCAGCATTTGATGAATGCCACAGCTCTCTTCTCTCAACAAACTTCTTTCAAGTGTGTCAGGAAAAAGTGTTATATTCTCTGCTTTAAACTCAAGTGTAGTAATACCTAAATGACTTTGATTAAATACATTTATGACTAGTGTATATTTTAAAAACAAAGTGATGAAAAAGAGACGGTTCTGTAAAAGTAATGTCACATTTAGTAACAGATTAGTAAACACAGGCTATATAAAGAACATGTCATTTACATAATAAAATAATATATAACAATTATAATGAAACTAGAATATAGATGGATGGGCTCTTGGTTCAATTATTAATGATGGAGTTTGATAACACTAAAATATACATTTTTGTGTGCTTTATTCCACAAAAATCAGAAATATTTTTAAAATCTATAACATTAATTATAGATGAAAGAAAAATCTGAACACATAAGAACCTTAAAATCTATTACTTTAAAATGTTTAATTCTTAATATTTTAAGTGAATTATTGCATAGATATAATAATATAGATAGATATGTAATATAAAGATATGTAAGATTTAAAGTCTTCTCTGGTCTCATTTAAGTTAAAAGGTTTTTGAATGGTGCACTCAGCTCTAATAGCTATAGCGGAACATGTGGTAAAGAACTGAATGAACTTTAAAAATAATGATTAACAACGCCGTCCGTTTTGTGGCTCAGTCTCCCATAATATCAGAAAAACCTGTACAGTCATACTGAAATGTAGGAATATGCATCCTTCAATGTAGTCCCTGTTTTAATCTTTATAAATAACGGTTAAGTAAAAGGGTAAAAGCAAAAAGAGTCATTAACCTTTTCTAGGAAGTAAGGATCAAGTAATTTGATACCTGTGTGTATAATCCATCAAAAAATTACTGAGTATCCATCTCTGCCTTGCAGATATTTTATTTGCTGTCTGGCTTATTTGTAGGAATCTTCATAAAATGTCAGAAAAATTTATATGATTTTACTTCACATAATTCATTACTGAAGGTTAAATTAGTTATAAAGAAGACATACTTTTTCCTTTAAGATATTTTTATAGAATATTGTTTTAATGAAATGATAAACATTTCAAAGTTCCTCAGAATAAATGAATAAACATTGTTTTTGGCTTTTTTAAAAAAACGATTTATGACAAAAACAGAGAAGTTATTCCATGGCTACAACAGAAAACTTAAAACAGCAATACAATGCAATTACCATTGATAGGGCTTATTATGAAGGGAAAATTTTAAATCTAATTCCATGTCATTTGGCTTTAATGTAATATTTGAATAAACTCATAAAAAAGGAAGGGCAAAAGGAGATGAAACATTACAGGCAACAACTATGTTTTATTTACAACTTTAAAAATGAATTTTCACACGCGAAGGATAAAAATAAAGACCCTAGATGATTACAAAACCCTTAAATTAAAAGAAATGACTACCTTCTCTCATGCAAAGGTACGTTTCATCGTCCTCCTCTAGCACCTACCAAAAAAGTTTAACAGATGCAGTATTCTGTATGACTACTACAAAATAAAATAAATTAGTACAGAAATAATGTTTGTGTCATTTATTTTATTCTCATGCTCTTTCCAAATAGTCCAAAATGCCTGATTTTACATTTGATTGTGAAAAAACTCTAACCAGATGCAATATCCTATCTGTGTTCCCGTCACTTGATTCTTTATAAGATATGCCACAAGCACATAGGAACATTAAAGACACACAGAGCAAACTACAAAGAGCAAATAACACAAATTGATTTCACTGTATAAGCCAGACCAAATGCTATTTCATAGGCAACAAGAACCAGTATTCATATAAAATAAGATAATCAATCACTGGATGAAAACTCTTGAAAAACTGATGAAAGGCCATGAGCATCAGGTTTCCCCACTGCGTGTCAGAGGAAAGTTATCATGAATAGATATGGCAAGTAAATTTAGCTTATTCAAGAGGCGACAGCCAAGAGATAACACATGATTAACAAGAAAGCAGTAAATATCTTTTAGACAGAAAAGGAGAAAAGAAATATAAAAGCACTTTGCTTTTACAAAGTATCACCTAGGATTTTTGCTGTTTTTAAAAGTTCAGCTGCATGAGGTTTTCCAAACACTTTTAATTACCCTGTAATCACAGCCAGTGTACTAGAAGTTACACACAACACAGAGGTACTCCTTGAATAAAAATTCATGGAGAGAAAAAAAAAAAAAACATTCCTTGGAAGATGTGTGGCAAAACTTAATTTTTTTGATGTAAATATCACATCATTCCAAGGTGTGATGGAAATGGAACCCCACATCAACTGGCTAGTGCCTGAAATCCAGGGATTAGTCCAGGTCTAGTTTCCTAGGCAGCCTGCAGTGACAGCAGGTCATGATGAGACAGACACCTGCATGGTGACTGTCCTTTCCTCCTGAAACTTTTAGAGTCCATTACAGTATGTATTTACAGGAAGTATGTGAACATAACACTATAGTCTGTGGACCACATTTACTCTAAATAATTCTCTGTTTCGAGTCTTGGCTCTAGTCTGACCTTTAGTGTATTAACATTACAGCATTTCCCAGTTCACTGTATAGCACTATGTAGGCAACAAACAAGGTGGTAAAACGTAGCAGTTATTGAAACTTTTGACTACAGGTACTTATATAATTTTTTAAGGGTCAGTTTTTAAATGGTAGCAATAAAAAAGAAATGTTTGTAAAGTGATAATCTTTAAGGAGAGCGAGAGAAACAAGGACCACATTTAAAACATTTGTTTCTCCATCCCCTCTCCTATTCACAGATAATGCATAGGAGGATATCCATTAATTTCAGTGATAAATTATAGTTTTGTCCTGAGGGACAAGCCATGAGTCCCTAAACTCAGAATCTAGAATTCAATTTTTACCCATTCTTCACCCCACGCTTGTCCCCACCATCCCTAAAGACAAACCTCAGAATATCGTATGACTGACATTCTCTATGGGTCAGTACATTCAAAGCTTTCTCACTTAATGCACAACAACATAAAGAATTACGAAACTTGGAAAAAGAACTATATCCTTAGGGAAAGAAACAATCTATAAGATTATTAAGGAGAAATTAATAATGAGAAAATGGCATAAAGGAAAACTTCAGATTATCAAATAAAAAAAATATCCAACACAAATCTGCTAAACTTTTCCCTAAATTCTGAGAAATAAAGTGAGACATATCTTAACAAGAAGAAATAAAAAATCTGGCGAAATATACCCTATTCTCACGTCCATGGACCCACAGAACCACCTAGCTCCTTTGAAAGCCCGTATTACCATTCTCTATAAACATGAGGGCCTATATGAACAATTTATCCAAATCAAATGTTCTAGGATCAATATATTTTAGTTTCTTCTGAATTGCCTCCCCTCAAATTATTTTCTTCTTTTATGCTTTGGCAGGGTTCTGAAAAAAAATTTAAAATTTGCAACCACTGTAAATTCTTGAGTAACAGCTGTTGAGTACATATGTGTGTGTGTATACATACATATATACATATAAACTCTTTTAGAATTCCAAAATGTGACAGAAAACCTGCTCCAAAGTATCCAAAGCATCCAGAATTATTATTTATAATAATGCAATGTTATGCTCACTTGCTTTTGATAATGTTTTAAAATGCACCTGAAACATCTGATGAAATTCGAAAAGCAACAAAAAGGTTACTTTTGTCAGCTATAGAAGATTTTTTTTTTTCAGAAGAAAAAGCATTTACTTAGTTTCAGTGGAGGGAAAATCTGTCTCCTTAGCAATAGATTCCTAATCACCTGATTTATGTGAAGGGTAAAGGTTAATGAATTAAGCTGTGTAAGCTTCAAAACTATCAAAGGAATTCAAAAGAGCCTTGAATTATGGAAAACAATGGCCCATTCTACATACATACCAAATTTTTATGTTTTTTGTCTCCTACTCAAAAGCTAGAACATGGCATTAGTGACAATTGAAAAGAACTAATGAGGAAATATGACTACATTGCTTGCAAGAGGAGTGTCCTAGGAGACCTTGTTACTGTTTGTGATGTGCTTCAAACCCAAAAGAAGCTAATTGGAGCTGCCAGACACTGGTTTACAAATCTCACTTTAAAGGACAGGCTCAATCACCTTAGAGGTGTGGAAAGAAATGTCCCTATTAGAGATGCATTAGTATGTGGCTTGGTGAATTTCTAAATAAACTTTAGGATGTTCTTTCCTAAGTCACTTTTATATTTGAATAATAGATATAACTTCAAGGAGAGGAAAAAATGCAACAAGACAAAAACAACCCCACAGATTTAAAACAAAAAGTATGAAAAGTGCTGTAAAGTAATTGGCAAATAAGTACAATGGGGAGCTAGGTATGTTTAAGGTTGAATAAACATGGAGATCAAACTTTAAAACTCCTGAAATGCAAACACATTGTAAAAGTGATCTATTGGGGGGGTTTAAGGAATATAACTTCATTTTCATCATTTCTTGAAACTGAGCAAGCCAATAAGCCACCCTATGCTATATAGCTTATAAAAGCATAAGAAGCTGCAACGCACAGACACATACAAATGAAAAAGGAATAAAAAGGATTTACAAGATCTAAGGAGAGCAACAACAGAGCAAACTTACTCCAATTCTGTGCTACAAAAGCTCATCCTGACTTCAGGTCATTTAAATGATAGCAGAGGTCACCAAAACACAATTTGGCATCTTATGGAAAGAATAATGATATTTGATTGATTTTTCTAAATCCTCCAATTGAGTTTTACTGAAGAATAATCCAATCCCAGTGCAGCAAATGAATTGGCATGATTTACAGGTGTATCTTGCTTTCCGAAAATGCCCTATATAAACGATTTCTATTTACAAAAAAAAGACACATTTACAGGTAAACATGTACAAGACGAATCGACCCGATAATCTATTA